AAATTTAATTTCATATACTTGTTCTATATTAGCTCCCCCAATTTTCAATTGCAGTTCATTATCTAGTCTACGATTCCCAAATACCATAAATTTAGTTTTATCCAAATTCAGAGATAGTATATTACTGTCACACCATTTCTTTATCTTCTCAAGTTCCTGTGTAACCTGTCCAGAGAGTTGCTGTAGGTTTTCACCCGATGCCCATATGGTAGTGTCATCAGCAAATAAAACCACTTTCACTAAATCAGAAACCTTGCATATATCATTAATGTATAGTATAAATAATTTAGGTCCCAAAACAGAACCCTGAGGCACTCCACATACAATATCCAGCTCACTCGATTGGTATTCACCCAACTTCACAAATTGACGCCTCTGTGTCAAATAACTTCTAATCCATTTCAGAACCATTCCTCTGATCCCATATTTTTCTAACTTGTCCATTAATAATTCATGATTGATTTTTTTTAGGTCAATAAATATCCCCATCGTGTAGCACTTGTAATGTCCTCCATCAGGTCGGTAGCATGGTGTTCAGCATAACTTATGTAATAACTTGCTTATTGTAACAGGTTTTAGGAAATCTAAGCAACAGTTTAGCCTCCTTTTTGTGTGGGGAGAGCCGTTTTTGTGCACAGATAGCTAACCTGGTCTCTTCTCCACCCTCCCTCTGTCTCAGGGGAGGCCGTCTTTGCCAGATGCCTGTCCTCTCTTAAGGATGAGAGAGTGGAGGCCAGTCGCAGCCTTTCAGGGCCACAGGGGGTCAAATTCAGTGGGGACAAGGCTGCCTTCCTGGAGGATATCAGAAAGGTACAACACACAGAATATTACACTGCTTTATTATTGCTGTTTTTTTTTTTTTTTTTTTTTCTGACTTTCCAACTATTCTGCTTGTATGTGTACATCTGGAGGTGATATTTGCAGGTATGTTTAAAGTCTTAATTTGTGAAAGAGGTCTTGAGCACTGACACTGTAGCTATCCTGAAACAAATACTAATAAAGCAGTACAGAGGTGAATGTGTGTGTGCATGACTGATCAGCATCTGTACTGATTTTTAAAACTATTAGTTGGTTACAAGTTTTTGCTGTTTCTCATTATGAAATAATATAAAATGTGCCTCTTTTCAGTGACTAATACTGTTTGTTTGTTGTTTTTTTTTTTTAAATGATGCCTTACATATTAGAATAATTATTCCTTTTTGCTCCCCAGGCCCTTTATGCCTCCAAGATCATTTCCTACGCACAGGGCTTCATGCTCCTGCGACAGGCAGCCAAAGAATTTGGCTGGTCACTCAACTATGGCGGGATCGCTCTGATGTGGAGAGGAGGCTGCATCATCCGAAGGTGCGTTTAACACAAATCACATTTGCTTCACTGTTACCTTGTGCAACTTTAATGTCAACACGGTTCTTTCACAATGATGGTGAAAACTGTGGTTAGGCAATGTAAGAGAGAACTTAATGGGAAAGCAAGAAGATTAAAATTGAGAAGTTCTCTTACAATTTCAGAAAATGTTTTTAACTGTAGGATAACGCCTACATCAAGAGGGATAAGCATGTTTAGTCTTAAGAAAACAATGTAGTGCCACAAAGGAAGTTAACTGTGTCACTGCCCTGTGTTGGAGTGAGAAATCTAGATTGACCCTTCCTGTAAATACAGATTGAGAGAAAAATGAAGCTGCAGTTGTGACACTGCTTTGCTTTTGTAATCTTGTAAAGATATTGCATAAACCTAACTCGAGGACAACTCTCGGCCCGACTGCCAGGGTGTATCCACCAACCTGTAAGAAACGGCTTTTCAAAGAGCAACAAATTAGTTCGGAGATTATTCCTAGAGCATGTAGGAATAACAGGAAATGTGTATATATTGTACTGGTTTTCTAATTTCACTTTTTACTTCAAGCTGATTTTTCTCTCTTTTGCTACTGTTGGATAACGCTGCCCTTTCACCTCCCCACCAGTGTCTTCCTGGGTAAAATCAAAGAGGCATTTGACAGGAATGCTAAGCTGCAGAACTTGCTGCTGGACAGTTTCTTCAGTAGTGCTGTGCAGGACTGTCAGGTAGGAGGAAGCAGCCACATTGACAAGACACACAAACCAAGTTATTTCCTGTTTCACAAAGAAAGGAGAAGCAAGAGTACCACTTGTTGACCCCAATCCTCAGCTGTCTGAGATGAGGCTTTTTTGTAGGTACTTTTCAAACTGAAGTCCATTGATTTACTTGTACATTGACGAGGAAAGGACACAATGCATTATTCACTGCTGATATTGTGTATCATCCTGTCTTCTGAAACTTGGAGTTCTTGGTTGAGGTTTTCCTGTCTTGAAAACTCACTAGAACCGAAGGCGGGTACAGAAGTCCTGATGGGACCTGAGGACAGGAGTCAACATGAGGAAATCCCATTATAGAGAGAACAACAAACAGTGCATCATGCATCCATCTCTGTTAGTGAGCAGCCATGGTCAAAAAGCAGAATTACATGCTGTTTCTCATAATAAACAATGTCCAGCTTCACCTCCAAAACTATTTTCTATTGCAATGATTAAGATGCATCATGTGATCAGATCTGATAGCGAATCTGTTCAAGTACAGGGTATTAGACAGAATGTTACACAAACCTGAGACTGTCAGTAATAGACAGCACTGTACCTGGCCTGATTAGACTGTAAATAATTTGAATTGGACTCAAGTCAGATCTTTGCTACTAGTAAATGCATGGCCTCGTGACGACCTCTTGTTCATGTCCAGATTTACACCACAAGCAAATTAAATTAGCTCCATAAACAAAATGTTAACGAAGTGTAATACCTTTGTGCAGGAGTCATGGCGCCGGACAGTCAGTGTTGGAGTCCAGCATGGCATCCCCATGCCCTCTTTCACCACAGCTCTGTCCTTCTATGATGGTTACAGACACGAGAAGCTTCCAGCCAACCTCCTTCAGGTAAGAAAATGGTGGAAGATGCAGGGTCCACTTAGCAGATGGTCAAGTGTGGAGGTAAATCAGATTAAAAAGATCACATGCAGTTGGTGGGTGTATTTCTGTTGGAACCTAGGGGCTTTAAGGGCAGAGACACACCAAGCTAACATGAAAGAACTAGCAGTGACGAAGGCCGACTGTTAGTGGCAGTAATAGACAGTGGCACATGAACACACTGCCCAGCTAACGGCCAACTAGCACCTACGTTTTGCACGAGAGAAATAACTTCCCCTAGCAGCAGGTGCTATCTGTATTCGCCCTTCAAAAAGGGAAAGAAAACCTAGACGGTGGAAATACATGTGTAAACAACTCGGCTCTTGTTCAACGCAGATCAAGAATATGTCTAAGACTTGCTGCCCTGCGTCTTTTAGTTGTGGAGGAAAAAACAAAGAGAAACCAAACTAAATGTGTGAAATCATGGTTATCACAGCAACCATCTCTGCTTGTGCATTGATTTGCTAAGCTGAACAACCAATCGGTGTCCTCTCTCACTGACGCCAATTCAAACGGCTAAATCGGCTGAAAAGCCACCGACAGGGTCTGATTTAGTGCCAACAGTGCAGGACACACCAGGAAGATGAGCTCCGACAGATGCTCACTGAAGGCCCAGTGGTGGCTGACAGCTGACATCTGCTTGGTGTGTTTCTTCCCTAAGTAGTACGGCTCGTTGTACTCCCTGTGTTCTGGACACGTATGCTAAATCTGGTTTTCAAGCGATGCAGCTACATATATCTCTAACTCTTTTATCAGTTCTTTATGATATATATTTGTTCATGTTTACACCCCTATTGTGTGTATCAAAGGTTGTTTACCTTGTTTTTCTTTTTAGGCCCAAAGGGATTACTTTGGAGCCCACACATATGAACTGCTGTCCTGTCCCGGTCAATTCATCCACACCAACTGGACAGGTCATGGTGGAAATGTCTCTTCTTCATCCTACAATGCTTAAAGACCCTTTTCACATCACTGGAAAACAAAATGGAAGGGAGAGAATGAAGGGAAGTTACCTGTGACAGATGACACGTTACACAATCCATCTTCATAAACACACCTGCCTATTTAAGATCCACCCAACCCAACAGTCTCCTTACTCAAGTGTTTACTCCATCTGGATAATATGGCTAGCATTAACTAGTCATGTTGGGCCCAGGAATTACGGTGTTAACACTGGATTAAGGTGGACTGCACTGTATTAGGCTAAATAAAGGTCTCAATCCCTTTATAATTGGCTTGTGCGGTCCTCAGTTTATGGGTGCTGTAAACAGGACTAGGATGTGTTTGTATGTAGCACTAAAGTGAGCAACAAGTGACAAACTGCCTGAAATTTTTTTTGTTTTTTTTAAAGGTTTGTGTGATGACACACTGAGCCATTGGCTTTATCTATGTGCATAGATACATATTTGAAGTGTGGACAGTTAGTTAAAATTAATATATCATTACTGTTTAGTCTGTTTTCAATAACTTAGAATATTCAAAATGTTTTCATCTTTAACTGGACCTGTATCTGAATCTAAATAAATATGACCCCTGAAGGGAGGTAATCAGTTAAAATTATTGGCCTCACAGTGAAAAACACCATCATGTTGTCATTACCATGGCTGGCCAGCAGGTGTCTCAATGGAAACACCAATCAATTATAATGAAACTAATGTTAACACAAAGACAACCCTTTCTTATTTTTGGTCATATGAAGCAAAGATAAAGGGGGTGGACATGTATAATATAAAATGCAGCACAACGACTTCAGTAGTTTGTAGGATTTCTTGATACCATGCTCTGTGTTAAGTTAGGTTTTGAGGCTGTAGTTGGATTGTGTTGGGTTATATTGTAAGATATTTGTTATT